GGTCGTCGCTTCGAATATTCTGGAGACATTCTTATTCTTCTATTCTAGACGAGACCCTACTTACTGCCTAGGAGCTCGTACTGGCGCAGTTCCGCGACGGGGAAAGGCATTTTGCACTCCGAGCCATCTAGACAGCTCTTTCATGAGTAAGACAGCGTTGACGGGTTTTATCATTTTGGCTAGACGAGCTGCTCCAGTTTCACAAGAGTTCACAGGTTTCACCACAGCGGAACTTGTGAACCGAAACTAGTAAAGCAGTGAAGGTACAAATATGCCCCCGTCGCCGAACAGCGCCGGTTTTCCTTCATCGATATGGGTTTCACACTCAAAATTTAGCTGCAAAATTTAGTTTGTTTGATACGATTTTCAATTTTAGGAGGATGGCGCTAAACCTGCAGCTCAAACTTCTCCGAAACCGGTAAGTGCCGTTAACCGCGTATACGAGCTCTTTCAATACCTAGTAGTGAAGTTTCAGCCCTTACTAGGGCGATCTTATCTTCCCGATTCCCATCCTATGATGCAATATTGCGCTCTCGCCCCTACGACACACTTTCGCGGAAAGGACGTGCTCTGTTTTGTAGCAGATAGCTTTATCAGTCCAGTGGTGAATAACTGGCACCGTATAAAGAGCCCACCCCACCTTTCCCCACAAGGATTTGATCACCGTAAGTTATCACGAAAAGTGTCCCTAAGTCAGTCCATGCAGATTCGATCGTTGGACAGGTTAGCCTCCCGCTCCTGCTCTGGATTTTGTCGCAGTTCAACGGGGCTTGTCAGGCTGCGTGGCTCAGCCACAGCGTTTTCTACCACTCGTTGTTTCCTACCTGATCCAACCACTCTTGGTAGAAATCACAGCCGAAATTGGGCTCATTCAACACTTGTCACCGTTCCGCCGGATTGCTACGACGTCAACTGCATATACCAACCAAAATACCTACCAACCAACACAAAAGGTTGGTGCTTCATGAAAAAGAGTGGCCCTCCGGTGGTTCACATGGGGATGTGACAAGAGAATCGTAGTTCGTCGCGCCGATAGACGTCGCGTGCGGAGTCGCGCCCGCAAGTTGCGATGGGTTGATGGCGACAACGGGCAATTCAGAACCGAAAATAGTCATGAATGTCTACGATGACGGGGTCTACATGAAGTCCGGTGCTCCAATCGACAGGTTAACACGAGTTAAGAAAACGCCGCGCCCATCGCCGCGCGCGGCAGAGCGGCAAACTTACGATTCCCTTGCCCGTCTCCCGGTTCACATCGCTTCACACGCTTGAGTGGAGGCTGGATGTTACCTACTGCTTCATGCTGCCATACAATTGGAACTTTATCGATAAAGGACTGGTTTGCCAAATGTCCGCCGTCCAACTCCGTTAGCGAAAGGCTCTGTCGTTTTGCATCTGAATCTGGAGTTTCATGCTAAGAAAGCGCTTGTTGAACTGTTTGTACTGATAATACCTCTTCGTTTTGAAAGTCATCTACAGCACCGTCGTTTCAGGTAGCTTGTAAAAGCTGTAAGAAAACAATACCTGCCGGTACACCGTTCTTTGATGTCAACAATGCGCCGAGGTGCAAGGATTGCTGCATCGTATGTTATTCTCGCTTGTGTATGTGTGCAAGACACGTCCTACCGTTGGGGAGAATTTCGGCTTGATATGCAGGGTACAGTAGCCTTGTGTGAAGCCCATGGATAGGGTGGTGCTCGGCCGCTGGAAAGGGGGGGGGTCATAATTGGTCGTTGCTGGGAAGGAAGGATTGTATTTGTCGATTAAGTTGGAGGGGGAGGCATTGTGGCCTATCTAGAAGAAATTTGCCGCGCTGGTAAGAATTTTTTCTGTTTGTTGGCGCAGTTTGCGATATTTTTCCGTTCAGCGCTCTGGTATCTCCCAAGGCGAGGATAATTTTTTGGTGAAAAGTGAAAATGTGGAAATTTCAGCCAGAAATTTCGGCGAAAAATAGGGCAAGAAATGTCATGGAACTAGAGGGAAGTGGTAGGCAGGTGTTAGGGAAGGGGAGGGGTCGCACCGAGATCCTCTTTCGAGGGGCGGAGTCGTACTGACGCCAGAAATTTCACACATCACGATTCTGCACCCTGCTGATATTGCCCCCCTCCCTCCCTCCTTTCTTAACGAGTGATACGTCTATGCAAGTTTCCCAATGATTTGTCGTGAGTCGGGGGGGGGGGGGGGTTACACAACTGTGCAGCTGTTACACACCTTCGGTCAGCTACTAGAAATAGCAGTTTTACAGTATCGCCGACTTAGGGAAGGGAAGAGGTACAGCGCTTGGAAGGCAAAAATTCTCCGGATTTTGGAATTTCGGGAGTTTTGGAATTTGGGAAGTAGAATTTTTTGGCGAATACCCCTTTCCTTCTAGCGGCCGAATGGACGTGTGTTGGGGATCCCAACCTATAAGGTGCCCCTGTGAATCTTCGAGTGAGAGGAAATCCCAACTACCTCATGACTCTTACAGTCCCAGCGATACAGATGACGAAACTCACTCTAATACCGACTTTCTCACTCGATGAGATTTTTCTCTTACAGAAAGATGGTTCTAAACCTGCTCCGGAGGTTTCTAATACACCGGTGAGCGATTTACAGACTGTACCTAAAGCTTGTTAATCAATATATCAATCGAAGCGATCAATTCGATATATTCATTGAATGAAGTAATAGATGAATGCCATCATCAGAGAAATCTTGTCTCTCAATATTTTTGGCTTGCAGCTCTTTCCTACAGCAGTTATTTTGCACAGTATCAGTTGCCCATTTTTTACTAGGATTTTGGCTAATAGGGTTCAGGTTGCAGCTTTAGGTCCGCGCTAGAAATGGGGTGAGGGGCGACGTGATCACCACGTATGCAGTCCGCGCGACATCGCTTACGCCACCGCTTTCGCCACGCGATTGCGATGTCCATCTCCTACCAAAATCCGCTTTACCGTTAGCGTTCCTGCTCATAAATATAAATTCTTCGCGCAGTTGGACTTGGTGGGGCACTAAATGGTACACATCTAAGTTTGTATAGCCCATCTCTTAAACACCCGTTACTCGTGGCTCATTCGTGCAATTTCGAGCTTCACAGGAGTCTGACCAATGTGAGACTTGTTAGTTTACATCAACTAACAAGAAGAAGTAGTAAAAGTGCAAAGTGGCCGTCCAAGCCGAACGGCGAGGAATTTTTATCTTCGGAAATTTCACCATCACATCAGCATTTTCTCGTTTTGTACAATAAACTATATGCGTAATTCACATCGCCTGACAGTGAGGAGCTTATAAAAGAAACATTACTGTTTTCAGCTACCCTGTAAGAAATGCAATAAAATGATACCGGCTGGGACACCTTACTTTGAAGAGGATCATAAACCAAAATGCAAAAAATGCTGTATTGTAAGTTTTCTTTGTTTACTAGTGAACAACTGTCAGCTCTGAGGGTGAGCGCCGTCAAAGAAAAGATTTCCTTATTTGTCATACATCTCTCTTTCAGCGTGATGGACTCAAGCCACCTGAGGCAAGTTTGTTGAAAGACTTTTCATTGTCCACATCTCTTGCAAACATCACGGCGCGGCGGTGGGGAAGGGGGGGGGATTCTTCTCTAGGAGACTTCTCAACACAAGTCCCTCGAGGGCAGGTGGGCAGGGGTTGAGGTGAAGATGGGCATGACGTCTTACCAGCTGTTAGAAAGTCAGAAACAGCAGTGGCCGCGCCGCCAACAAAAGTGGAAGAAAGCGAAGCGGAAAAAACCAAGCATCACCATCAAAACAAATTTTACCGGACCAGATACGACCACCCTCCTCGTCGCTTCTATGGACGACTACCGTTCCTCGAGCTGGTGAGTCCCAATCGTGCAGTGTACTGCTGGTAGAATGATATCTAGAGCGGAATGCTTACCTAATATTCTGCCAAACAGCCAACGGTACACGCGTATCAATGGGGCATAGATTTGGCGCCCTGCCAGCCCGTTCTCCCCCAGTTGCTGAAGCGGATGAACGGCAAAGCGGTGGAGAACGACTGATACATATGATACATTCCCTGTCAAAAGAAAAAAGGAAACGGCTCAGCGCTGCGCTACTCCCATCTCCTGGACATGCTCCATCATTAGATGCTCACAAGACTGTAGAAGCGGAGAAAATCAGTCTTGGGAGTTTTGCCCAACACAACGACATCCTCATCTTTTCTTGTCGTACTTACTTACGACTTTCCCTCTTGCTTTACGGGAGGTGTTGCTGAAAATCAACACCGGGCGAAAGAGGTGGGATGAATCAGGCGCGCGAAGGCCGGAAAGCACAATCAGAAATTTTTTCCATGTTTCCATGCAAAGCTCTCTCTCAGCGGCTCTAAATAGATAACTTCTTTGACTTCCAAAAACCCATTCTGGTGCCCTGCCTCCGCCTGGCCTCTTTTTTTGCGAATATAAACGCAGTTCATCTGCTCAGCGGTGTCTTTTGAAGGCACGGTCCGCTGATAAGGAAGTAGGTGTTGGCTCGAATGGCGAGGGGAAGATGCCGAGTGACTCGGCGGAGGACAAAATTGCAGAGGACGGCCCGAAAGCACCTTATATGACCCCGCAGCAATTGCGGAGAAATTGCCAAAAAACCGCTTGTTGGGACGACTCTAGTTTGCGACTCCTCTTTAATGAACTCTGTTGACCACAACAAGAGACAATTTAGCTATCTTGATTCAGGTAGCATCGCTTGGCTAGGAAACAGGTTAGGAGTGCGCGGTCTGAAGCGCGAGTCACTGTGGAAAAAAGGAGTACCACTGCGAGCAATTGTGCAGATTACTCCACACCTGACAACTTCAGCGGAAAACTGGCACCAGGGATTGTTCACTGAGACGGCTACGCTTCCCATAACGTCTTTCTGCATTTTTACAGGCGGCTTTGAGCGATTTTGACTTCTGACCCGCGCGACATCGCTATGCAGGGCACTGCGCCACCTCGCAGCATATCTTTGTTCCACTAAATTTCATTATTTCCCTCCCGTGTTGGAAAACTTCATTGATGTATGTTCAGAAGCCTTTGGAGAAATGCCTCAAATGCAACAAAGTTGTCACTGAACGGCTCATCCGAACTCGCGGAGGTGGATGGCATCCGGAGTGCTTCGCCTGTGACACTTGCCACAAACCACTCGAAGGCATTCCTTTTACTGCTACACCGAAAGACAAACCCTACTGTATACCATGCTATCAGGCGTAAGTGCTTTGTTCATGCGTGGTGTATTCCGTTTCAACTAACGAAGGTTTGTGGTCCACCTGTCGGCGACTTTATTGGCAGGCAGCTCAAGACCCATCGCACGCTACGTAGGGGGAAATTGGCTCACCGTTGTGCACCGGGCAATCGTTGTTGGGATCCAATAGGGGTCGTATTTGGTCGCCAGGAGGGGGGGGGTCGTATTTGGGCTGAGAAAAATTTATTTTGATAGTTGATTTTTCTCGCTTCATGGACGTTGTAAAGGGAGGAGGGTCGTATTTGAATCATTTTTGGGAGAGGGGGGGGGGTCGTATTTAAGTTTTGGCGTTGTGGGGTGGCAGTTGACTTTTGCGTGATTTCCGTTTCATGTGTACATATATGCCCCCCACCCCCCCCTTCGACGGCCCTCGAGTTCGATAGGAAAAGGACAGGGGGCTGGGGGAAGCGGGGTCGGCTTTACCAATTCCCGAAAAAAAGGGGGGGGGGGGCGGCGGTCGTACAGACTCGACTTAAAATCCCAACAATGATGTGCCCTTGGTGATGTGTCTCACCTCTTTCTGACGGTAAGACAGTTGAAGAGGCAGAACCTCTACACGGAAAAACCTCACGTTTGCGGTTTTAAAGACAATTCCCGCGATCAAGTGTTCGGGTAATTGGTGCTCAGTCACGAAGCAGTGGCCCATTTGTAACCCCCAGTGGAAAAAAATCGAAAAAAAACCTCGCGAACACCCTGAACACAGACCTCCCTTTAGCAGTGGGGGCCTGTGACGCAGTGCCGAGTGGCTGCAGAAATAATGCGCAAGCCGCAATTGCGTCCCGACTTTCGAAATAGGATACTTTAAAGGGACGGAAGCAGCTCGGGACCGGACGCCTCGTCCACCTACCGTGTCAGCGAGCCTAGCGAGCCTTGTGGAAATCGCTATAACTTCCTTATCGCGCCATGAGGGATGAAAGTGGTATCATCTTCGTCAAGGCGTAGAGGGTTCCAAAAAGCACGAAGTCATTTTGAGGACACTGATCGCGTGGGACGTGTGCTTTCACAAGCGACGTGGAATGTGTCATTATCTTCTGACAGGCAAAAAACGGCCAGTCCGAGAGTCTCACAGCGCAAACTACCTCGATTTAGAAGAGCAGGTCCAGTAACCGTCCTTACCAGAAAGAGTTTTTTATTTTTTCAGGAAGTTCTCTCCACGTTGTGCTTACTGCTCCAAGCCTATCGTCCCCCGTGGAAATGAAAAGGAAGCTCTTAGACTGGTCGATAAGGGCAAATCATTCCATCCGGACTGCTATTATAAGAAGAAGGAGGTGGGGACGCATCGATCATTTTGATTTCCAAAGCTCTCTCTTTCTTACTGGAATTCTCATCAACTTTCTACTTACCTCTTCGATCGTACGTCTATGGGTCATTTTACATGCCGAGCGCGCCACAAATCAGCACTTCCGAGGCTAACGTTCGACAGTTTCCTCTGGGCGAGCTCCAGGCATTCCTTCATCCAAAGTGGACACGAAGATTGGTTTATAGTCGTTGGCGTATCCGTTGCTCCTGCCCTACCACATCAACTGACTGATAACGGAAGTTGCGGAGCCACAAAAACCTCAAGCGACAACAGTGACAAAGCTAAGCCTAAAATGTTTTACTATCGCTTTTGAGAATAAGGAGTAAGAAAAAAAGACGTTCCGTAGTGGGCAAATGCCTGCTGACCTGCCACGGACATGTTGCGCCTATCTCGAAGACGAATGTCTATTCTACAGTTGTACTAGACACAGAGAGAGAGAGAGAGAGAGCGAATAGAGAAGGACTTATGGAGAAAAATGACCACGATCGACTGATTTGTTGTGCATGTCTACTCATAATAGGATCGAATCTAACTATCAGCTATATTCATGTGAATCTTGCGTATTATAAAACACCAGGCGGATCGCCCGTTGACGCCGAAGCTCTCTCCTTCTCTCTGGCTCGCTTCGCCGAGCTTTCCTCATCGCTTCTAGTCACCCACGGTTGATGTTCCCAACTCACTCTCTATATCACTTGCTGAAACGCACGCCTCGCTGATACTGTGACCTGCGCTATGAATACGATGACCTCACTATTCTAACGTCCCTTATCGAATCTTATCAGCAGCTCACAATCTTGTTACCCACCAATAATGATTTTGGCCCTCATCCTATATCATATCTCGAAATCAAGAGCTGACTGCTGCTGTGACCTGCGCTGTGAATATGTAACCTTTTCCTTCTAACGCCCCTTATCGAATCTTATCAGCAGAATCACAAATCTGGTTTACACCAATTTAATGATTTTGGCCCTCATCCTATATCATATCTCGAAATCAAGAGCTGACTGCTGCTGTGACCTGCGCTGTGAATATGGTAACCTTTTCCTTCTAACGCCCCTTATCGAATCTTATCAGCAGCTCACAAATCTTGTTACCCACCAATAATGATTTTGGCCCTCATCCTATATCATATCTCGAAATCAAGAGCTGACTGCTGCTGTGACTTGCGCTGTGAATATGGTAACCTTTTCCTTCTAACGTCCCTTATCGAATCTTATCAGCAGCTCACAAATCTTGTTACCCACCAATAATGATTTTGGCCCTCATCCTATATCATATCTCGAAATCAAGAGCTGACTGCTGCTGTGACCTGCGCTGTGAATATGGTAACCTTTTCCTTCTAACGCCCCTTATCGAATCTTATCAGCAGCTCACAAATCTTGTTACCCACCAATAATGATTTTGGCCCTCATCCTATATCATATCTCGAAATCAAGAGCTGACTGCTGCTGTGACCTGCGCTGTGAATATGGTAACCTTTTCCTTCTAACGCCCCTTATCGAATCTTATCAGCAGCTTACAGTTTTGTGACCCACTAATGATGTTCTTGGACTATCCTCTATATCATATCTTAAGATCGAGAGCAGGCTGATGCTGTCACTTGCGTTATGATTATAGTGACCTTCTCCTTCTACAGCCCCTTATCGAATCTTATCAATTGATATAACTTCCTGTCACCTACCAATAGTGTTCCCGTCACACCCCGTACATCATTTAAATCATTGTCTCACTGCTACTGGGACAGGCGCTATGAATTTCGTGACACACAGACAGACGTACACACAAACATACACACACACGGACAGACATACTTAGCGGATTATATAGAG